TCTCCCCCCCCCCCCCCCCCCGATTGCTAAAGAGAAAAGGGGAAAGTTCATCCTCAATGCTTAAGTTGTGTATAGTATCCTGGAAGTTTACAAATTGTAAACCCACAGGAAAGAGTTAATGATCTTTATGTGGGCACTTTGATTTCACTGTCACTGTGAAGGATAAACATAAGCAGTTATAAATAGCAGGCTATCTTTGAATGATAGTCTTTAAGAAATTCAGGACAGTGACATGGTGTTGCATTGCTGGTAGTTGCTTTTGATTTTTTGCTTTTGACTCTATTTCAAATAGAACATTTTTTCAAATTTACATTTAAATTCATTTAAATATTTGAAGGGTTTTTTGCAGTTTGATGAGTCACTTTGGTAGTCTAGTCTTCATATCTTATATTCATGAAGTGAATTAAATGGCATCTGGACTGATGCAGAAATGCAATTAAAGAGTAAATGGAATCATCAGAAAGAAAGAAAACCTTACAGTTTCTAAACTGAAGTTAATCTTTAAGGATCACTAGTCACACACAGATGGAACTAAGGCAAAGTTGAGATTAAGCTATGAGGCATTTTCTGTAAAAATGTCAAAAGCTGTATATGGTTAAATTCTTTATTTTATAAAGTTTTGCTAGTGGAGACAATTGGTAAGTCATGGCTGAAAGTACAAAATTCATGTTTTTCCTTTCACAATTTCCTTTCCTATCACAAAGGAAATTCTATTAAAGAGCCATCACTGTAAATTGAAAAGGACCAAATAATTTGCTTAAGTCTTTGGGAAAGAAAAGGTCGTGACTGTCAGCTAATTTTTTAAGAATTACTTTAGTATTTTAAAAAGTAGGGTTATTTATTAGCAAGGTTCTCTGTATATTTGCCATAATAAGCATTCCTCCAGAAGTTTTAGGACACTTAAATTGGCATTAGGCCAAATGTTACAACCCCTCCCTGTCCGCCCCCCCCCCCCCCCCTTTTTTTTTTTTTTTTTTTTTTTTTTAATTCTTATGCATGGGGTCCCACACTATCAAACTATTTCAGGAAAGTGAGACAGCTCAGTGACTTCAGGTAGGGAAGTCAAATGTACGTGCATAAATTCGAATTGGTTAAAACTTCTACCTTTTAAGACATTTTTACAGTTCTCATTTTGATGATGTGCCTTCTGTTATTGTTTCATCCATTGTATTTTGGTTTGTTCTTACGTATATATACCTATACCATGTAAGGCTTTTAAAAAGTTCAAATTTATGCCTGGAAAAAAAGTTATTTTTTGCTATGTGGTGATGTGGTACATCTATAACTTCTCAAAATTATCCTTTTAGTGCAATGTTTCAGTTGTGGGAGCTTGTTTTGTTGTTTTTCAGAAAAGTACTGTTCAACATCTATCTTACAAAATGAGTCATCACTAGTATCTACAAACCAGCTGTAATAACAGGCTTTGCCAGTGCTGCGTGTCATGTTTATCATTAATGCTTCTAGATGTGTCTCAAACTATAGCAAGGTGTGTTAAGATTGTAGCAAAACTTTATACACTGAAGTTCAGTACGCTTCAAAGTACTGTGGCAGAAATAGAAGTGTCTGAGATATGGGTTGAGGGAATAATCTGCTGGCTTTCTGATTATACATGCTAAGTACTAAACAAATTTTCTGACAGCTGTGACAAATATTTAGACTTAATTCTCTTTATCCTGAATGCACTCTGCTGTGTCTTGTCTTAGAACATTTGGTACTTAACATGAGGCACTAGAATTTAGATTTCTTCAGTATTTCAGTGCAACTGCAGCATTATAAAAGAAGGTCAAAAAGCAGAACACTACGATTTTTCCCTGTGTATGTGCACATGCATGCACATACATGTAATTCTTAGGTGGGGAAGTGTGGGTGCTTTATTTCCATGTATATATACATTTAAGTAGGGATAAATGAATTATTCCTTGATAAAATTTTACCACATCACAATATGCTGCCATTTTGCAACTCATTTTTGTTGGGCTTTATAGAAAATATAAAATGTTGGGATTGCTAACTCCAGCTTGATTATCCTTTTCAGGGGGTTATTGTGAGCAGCTTTTTGGTTGAATGATGAGCCATTTTTTCATCCTGCTGGCAGTGGAGTGATGAAGTAAAAATACCTTTTAAAATGAATTTTGCAAGGTGACAGTTTAAATTGCTGTATTATCCTTTTAGTTTTCATTTGGAGGCTTTGTGTGTCACTGTCCATTTTAAATGCAGATTTATTTGAACACCCTTTCTGATGTGAATTTGGAAAAGTTTTTTAACAGCATACTTCATTCTGTAATGCTGAACATCATGTTGCAGCCAGTAAGCATTAGATCTAGTATTTGTAGTTTGCAAGTGTGTTGGTCTTCAATACATCATTTCCAATATACTCCTGCTAGCTTTATCGTAATTAAAATGATCTGTTGTAACATCAAAATAGCAAGAAAAAAATTGTTTTCTGACAAAGTATTTATTTGCACTACTTATGAATACTGGAGTTTACTGGGACAGGGTTTTTTCTCACCATGTGAGGTTTACTTGTGTGTGGGTAGGTACATACGTTTGTCACGTGTTGACAATCAATTGCCTCAACTGTGTGTATACTGTATGTAAATATGAACATATTTTTCAAGATTAAGGGGGAAACCTGCATCTTAATGGTGGTAAAGCTACTCTGTAGTAAGGTGACCCCAACTCAAACCCCTTTTTGCTCCAGATACTATGTGGTTTGTTTTACTTCTTTAATGAAGATTATTAGTGTTCTTGGAAAATTTTAGCTCCAGGGAAATTTTCCTCAATATTTAATGTATAACATGTTCAGAGAACTATATTTTGAAAAATTAATTTTGGAATAGATAATTCTATGCTATGGCTGTGTTTTAACCTAAGAGTTTAAACTTGTCCTATTTTATCATGAACCAATGGCTATCTCTTTTAAGTGTTCAGCATTTTAACTTTGGTCACAAACCAGAAATTTTTGTTTAACTTGGCTTACAAATTTAAATTAATTTGAAGACTAAGTGAGAACCAAGAATAACTTTTGGAGTGAAATCATAAAAATCAAGCAGTACAGACTAGGTACTGTACTCGTAGTCCTGGAGGAGGTGTGGAAAATACAATGGAACATGTTTGAGTGAAATGTATGTACTGCACACAAAACAAAAAGATGTTTCTGATGTTAGTAAATCTAATAATATCATCCTTAAATTCTGCAATTCTCTCATTGCCAAAGATACTGCTACCTTGGCATGTTTAATATAACATTAAAGCCATTAGCTAGGTCTCATTTGTGACAACCATTTACATCATAGGAATAATTTGCATCAGAAGAGTAAACATGCCCCCTTTTTTTATTTATTTAAATTTCTTGTTTAGGGTAATTGCAGGACTAAAGTTGCAAAATATCACTCTGTTCCAAGCATGGTAACCGAAGAAGCCAGATCTTCTGCACTTGCATTGCATTCTTGGTTTATATCAAATTGTTCAATATTTTATATTTTCTTCAGTATTTTAAGTGCTGTCTGTTTCTAGCATATGGGCCTTAAACTCTCTTGATTATTTTTTAGTTTGTTTTCCCATGGGCACACCCACCCAGATAAATCTTGCTGTGGAAGGCTTTTCTGTAGGTGATTCAAGGTAACAGATCATGACATGGGTGTGGTGTTAGTGAATATATGTATCAGTCTCTCAAAATTTGCATGTCATGACCAGCTGAAAAGCAAAAATACTTGCTTGCCTCTTACAGAGTGGTGGAAGATGATGGAGAGTTGTGAGCAAGTTGGTTTGTCAGCAATTCCTGAAAACAAGCAGTAAGTGGATTTTATGAGACTGATACGTATGAGGATTTCCACATAGTCATTATGAAATTTTATTTAAAATAAAACAAATCTTGGAACAAGATTTCAAAATATAACAGCTAGCCATTTCAGATAAACTTGCCTAGTAAGTTTGGCAAGTGTCGAGGCCTGTGACATTAAAAGTTCAGAAGCAAGCTGTGTAAGTCTAAGGGTACCTTATAGCTTCCAGAAATGGATTTAGTAAAAATCTGTCCCATGTTATTTGCCTGTATTAGAGATTTAATGAAAAAAAAAAATCACAATTTTTGCTTCTATTCTTTTATTTTTCTCTAGGCCACCCCCCTCCCCTGATTTTTTTTTTCTTTTTTTCTTTTTTTACTGTGTTCATCAGATTTTACCAAAGGTAGTGTCTGAGGGGCCAAATGAATTTAAAATGGGTCCATAAATTATCCTTCCTATCATAAACGATTACTAAGCTATTCCTATGAGGAGCTGTTGATGGGAACAGATGTATAGTAAAAAGTTGCCCTACATTTTAGGCTGTGCATGATGAGCAAAGTGATGAGGTCAAGTTTTATTAACCGATTACTTGATTGTGAGCTCCCAGTGTTTTACAGTCCGTAAGATGTAAGCAATTTAGAGTGGAGTATCTTTGCATTATGATAGAACTCTTTAAAGCAATTTAAATTTTGACTCTTGAAAAGATGGTTAATCACTCATTAAAAAGTGGTATGGAATTCACACAGGGTTTTGGTTTTTTGAGGGTAAAATGGTCAGGGGAGATTTCTGTCTAGGAGTATCTCTAAGTAAAGTGACTCTGTGGTGCTTTGTCATGGAAACTTCCTTAAAAATTAGTAGTGGATCCTGTGTGTTTGAGTCCTCATCCTCGCCAGAACTGATCACAAAACAGAAAAATAGTGTGAATGAAGCAGCCTTTTTACCTTTTGTTCTAAAATAAGGAGGACTTGGGAGTGACAGAAATACTGGCTATTGACACTGTTCTTTCTGTTCAGGTGATTATTATTGCTGTGCTAGACTTTCATGTTATTAGTTTATGAAAAATGCAAGTAGTAAAAACTTTGTGGCTTCAAGTATACAGTAGATGTGAGTTAACAGTCACTCAGGATAAACCAACTTGTCGAAGTATTAATAGATTCCTAGTGCTGGGGTGTGTCTTGTGTGTTTTTGTGTGCCAGTGTTCAATGATTACTTTGAAACAAGACTTCTGTTTTCTTGCAGATAGTGAATACTTTTTGGATGGATATTACTGGCTGGTTATTTATGGACAAATATCATATGACTAAATAAAAATTGAGTCATTTAACATATTTTCCATATCGAAGATTCCAGGAAAAAGCTAATAATTTTTAATAATTAGATCAGATACTCTTAATACATTGTAGACTTACTATGGTAGCTTTTATTTGCTATAAAAAACCCCCAACAACTAAATTGAGGTACCCCATGCTGCATTTTTAAAATTTGTAATTCCTGTACTTTACAATGAATCTTTTGATCTGTTTTTGTCCTTGTAGGAATACAGGATATGCCGTCAGTTTTACTAGCAAAGAAACATTCTGCAAGGGTTAAAAGATTATTTTCTTACTTTTTTCTGTCATACCAGGTTTGTTTCTCTGAACAAAGGTTTCTGAGGATTTTTACTACTTTAGCATTATGTAATCTTATCTCTGTCATAGAAGGAGCATAAGCAGCAAGTTAGCCCACTTCTTGTGGACAAACAGGCTAGGTGAAAGGACATGGATTAGTGGTGTGAGCCCCTCTTCACCAGGACAGCCTTGCATGCTGGTATGAACCCCAGACGTTCAAGATTTGGTACTGGTGAAGGACTAAACCAAACGGGTTTTTAATAACCGCGACCTCTGCTGTACAATGTCCTTTAACCTGGGACCAGGGAAAATCTTCATTCTTAGACCTGAAGATGGCACGTATTGAAGATCATGTTATTGGTGCATGTAAGCCATTATCTTAACTGTCTTACTGAGCTGGTTAATGCTGTTGACTGTTGTTGAAATGTGAAATGTAGTTACTATTGACTTTGTAAATACCTGCCAGAGATGAAATATAATTATTTTAAATCATTGTAAATAGAGATGTATAAAACTCAACACAATCTGCAATGCAGAAAAAAAAGTATATATATATAAATATATAAAGATGTTAAATAAATATTGTGCTGTTTCTGAACAGAAGTGAATACTTCGTGAATTGCCTTTTTTTTTAGCTTTGATTTACGTTGACGGGGGGTGTAATGCAGGGCACAGCTGCGGGGTGTCGTAGCTCGGACACTCACGAACACGGGGGGGGGGG